GGGATTTTTTTGTTTGTTTGTTTGTTTTTAAAGAAAAAAATATGAATGAGCGTCACAAATCCATTATTTCACGAAAAACGGTATGTTCCCCATTCAATTCTCCGGTCCTTTAAATGTTCAATTCCGAATGAAGGGGGTGTTTTTTATATCCAACGGGAGAAACTGAGACGATATTGAGCATAATATTGTTATAATATCGCCATCTAGTGAAGAATGCGTGCATTTCCCGTAAAATAAAAAGTTTCTGGGTGTGATTTCATTTGCTATTGCGTTGATAAAAATAAGCAGAAAGAGAAAGACAATTTTTTCATGGCGATAAATCTAAGCCTAACTGTAGAAACTAAATGTAGAATATTGATTACAATGTTTTAACTTATAATAACTTCAAAGAAACCAACAACAATCTTAAACATATTCAGACAGAAACTGTTATGAAGCCGGGTTGTTTAGATATTTTTTGACGCGCATGAACGCAACATAGGCGTTCCAATCCCATTGAACGTACCACACCTGCGATTGAAAGGCCTGAAAACTTCAGCATACAGCTCATTATTTCCTTTTTCTCGTTTTTAGCTCCTAGCGTTCACCCTTTATTTCTTAATAACTACTTGACTTGTTGTGCGTACATGTCAGTAGAACCACAGTAAATCCACCACAAAACCAGATATCTGCCTCCGTGTCTTTTAACAGCGAAACACACCATAGACATTGCCTCTCTAAAACCAATTAACTCCTGGAAAATATCTTATCTTCTTTTTACATATACTTAAAGAAATATGGCTTTTAAAAATGGGTAAGCACGCTCTTCATAATCTTACCTCTTCAGTTGTTCTCCTGTCAGGTAACATTAGGGTGTTTGCATGGCTTCCTGGTACAATAGTTGATCCAGTGCTCATCCTGGGTCCAACTAACATGTATCGTTTTTCTCCAGATCTGTACTGGATGCTGTGACATAGTGTTCCATCATAATTCGAGTCTTGCAGAAATTTAGAAGTGTAATCCGTGGATTTGGAACATTGCATTGCTATAAGTATAATAATACTGATTATAAA